TTTGCATATTTTTGCATATTTTGCAGTTTTTTTATATTTTGCATATTTTTGCCTATTTAGCATATTTTTCCCTATATTTTTTGCATATATTTCGCATATTTATCGCAAATCGACCTAGCATACCGTGCATATTTTGCATATTTTTTACATATTTTTTGCATATATTTTGCATATTTTTTGCATATTTTTATCATGACTCCAAATATCGATCAAATGGAGCATGAAACGCCTAAATACAAAATTTGAGTCCAATCGGATAAAGCACAAAAAATATGCAAAAATCCGAGGTCTATTTATTACCAATATTTTAAGATTTTGACAAGAACACTTCATTTAAAAAAAAATGCATTTTAATAATATGCAATATGTTCATATTTCGCGAGTTATAACCTTGCAAACCTCAGAATTCAAGGAATTTAAAAGATTTTTGTAATTTCCCATATATATATATATATATATATATATATATTGATAAGTAAGATATCGGTAGTCCAAAAATCCAACATTAATGTTCGACTACAGATATTTCGTAGTATAATATCAGCAAAAATATTCGTGTTGTTTGTATTTGTTTCGATTCAATAGATTAAAATATACAATTTTATATAATATTTATATATATTTGTCTAATTCTAACAGTTGTAATAATAAAAAAATGGCTTGAGTTGTCTCAATCAATCCTAATAGTTCAATGTCACACGTTTCTCATTAATTGTTCAACGACCAATACAATCTTTCATTCCCATTACACCAATCTTACAATATATTTGCATTAGAACTTTTAGCCGGTGAATATAATTGACAATAAATCCGGTACAATGTAAACGTACTATTATGTACTCCCTATGAAGCAGAATGAAAAAAGGACATACAGCAGTGTTTAAAAAGAAACCAATCTGTATGCAGTAAGAATATTGTTAAAATTTTAGTTTTCAATTAAGGTAAATTCTATAGCAAAGGTTTAACCCTTTCAGTGTTTTTGTCGAATATATTCGACATTTAAAATTACACTCTTCCTTTGTAATTTTTCGGTTTTCCTATGTACCGTTACAATTGATGTCCTTGTTTTTGATGAAAGACAGACAAGACTGTCCGAGGGTTAAAATAAGAATTGCTTTTTTTCCTAAACTCGGTGCCTTCATATGATTTTAAGTACAAAATTTTAGATTTTTATTCCAACAAAATTCCAACAAATTTTTTGACACTGAAAGGGTTAAGAGAAATCTAAACAGTCTCCTTACGTTCTGGATAAAACCAAGGTCAACTGTACATATCTTAGTATTTTAAACAAACCTAGATCAAGTCAGAGAATGCAATATTACTGATTTATAGAGATGGGCAGTGGGTAAATACCCAAAGGGAAAATCCCCGGTAAATTGGGTAAATACGCATTTGTGGGTATTTATTTGGGTATTTACTATATTGAATCGATAATACAAAATCTTACACCCTATTTCCGGGTTTCTGTTATCAATTCGATTTAGAATGGATAGTTTTACGATACCTTAAAGACGTGGGTAAAAACTTGGGTAAATACCCTAGTTTTTACCCAAAAATTGGGTATAAACTCATTAACTGCCGAACCACTTGACATAGGCGGCCAAAATTTTGCACACATGTTTCTAATGTCAAAGCAAATATAGAAATCCAACATGGGGTCCCTGCGTCCAAGTTTTGATATAGCCCCCATATAACCATATCTCCCGATTTAAGGTATTTTTGTCTATTAGACACATTTTACCACCAAATTTGCTGTAATTTGTCACAAAGTGTTATTTTTGCATACATGATTTTAATGTCAAAGCAAATATAGAAATCCAAAATGGGGTCCCTGGGTCCATGTTTTGATATAGCCCCCATATAACCGTATCTCCCGATTTAAGGTATTTTTTGTCTATTAGACACATTTTACAACCAAAGTGGCTGTAATTTGGCACAGAGTGTTCTTTTTGAGTACAAAATGTCCATTTTATGTATGTAGGTCCACGTTTACTGGTAGCCCCCATACAAAGGTACCCCTATTTTGAGTATTTACCCAAAAATTGGGTATAAACTCATTAAATGCTGAACCACTTGACATAGGCGGCCAAAATTTTGCACACATATTTCTAATTTCAAAGCAAATATAGAAATCCAAAATGGGGTCCCTGGGTCCAAGTTTTGATTTAGATCCCATATAACCGTATCTCCCGATTTAAGGTATTTTTTGTCTATTAGACACATTTTACAACCAAATTGGCTGTAATTCGGCACAGTGTGTTCTTTTTGAGTACAAAATGTCCATGCAAAATTTTATGTATGTACCCAAAGATTGGGTATAAACTCATTAACTGCCGAACCACTCGACATAGGCGGCTAAAATTTTGCACACATATTTCTAATGTCAACGCAAATATAAAAATCCAAAATGGTATAGCCACCATATAACCGTATCTCCCGATTTAAGGTATTTTTTGTCTATTAGACACATTTTACAACCAAATTCGCTGTAATTTGGCTCAGAGTGTTCTTTTTGAGTACAAAATGTCCATGCTAATTTTTATGTATCTAGGTCCACGTTTACTGGTGGCCCCCATACAAAGGTACCCCTATTTTGAGTATTTACCCAAAAATTGGGTATAAGTGGAAGTTCTTATTCTACTTTCCGTTTGCACTATTTCAGCCACATTTACCAAACGATGTAGTTTGACATTATCCACATAAATAACTTTTAAAGTATATTGACCCGCGCGATGCCTCTTTTTTAACGAATGCTCTTCCGGGATACCTTCAACCCTTTCTTTGAATATTGCGTGTAAAATGTCCTTTCATATGAAATGGGCCTTAGCAAGTGAAAATGTTGTTGGGGGATTCCATTGCTTTCATTCATAATTTTGAACAGGTAAACCTCGTCGTTATGTCATAATTTACCGCTGATGGATATAATATTTGGAAATACCAACTTCGTATTACCCTCATTCATAATTTAAAACAGGTAAACCCCGTCGCCAGTCATAATTTACCGCTCATCCTTATCATGCGGTGCGGACAATTTTTGGAAATACCAGACTCGTATTACCCGTATTCATAATTTAGAAATAAGAACTTCCACTTACTGGGAATCGGGAGATATGGTTATATGGGGGCTATATCAAAACTTGGACCTAACGACCCCATTTTGGATTTCTATATTTGCTTTGACATTAGAAACATGTGTGCAAAATTTTGGCCGCCTCTGTCAAGTGGTTCGGCATTTAATGATTTTATACCCAATTTTTGGGTAAATACTCAAAATAGGAGTACCTTTGTATGGGGGCTACCAGTAAATGTGGACCTACATACATAAAATTGTGCATGGACATTTTGTACTCAAAAAGAACACTCTGTGCCAAATTACAGCCAATTTGGTTGTAAAATGTGTCTAATAGACAAAAAAAAATACCTTAAATCGGGAGATATGATTATATGGGGGCTATAACAAAACTTGGACCCAGAGACCCCATGTTGGCCGCCTATGTCACGTGGTTCGGCAGTTAATGAGTTTATACCCAATTTTTGGGTAAAAACTCGGGTATTTACCCAAGTATTTACCCACGTCTTTAAAGTATCGTAAAACTATCCATTCTAAATCGATTTGATAACAGAAACCCGGAAATAGGGTGTAAGATGTTGTATTACCGATTCAATATAGTAAATACCCAAATAAATACCCGCAAATGGGTATTTACCCACCCCTTGGGTATTTACCCGGTAAATACCATCTCTACTGATTCATAATGATGATGAAGAGAAGAAAAAGTGTAGACATTAGCAGAATTACTTAACTGGTGGTTATTATTACTACTGATAACGTGTAGATGTTAGCAAAATTACTGGACTGGTAGTTATTATTACAACTGATAGAACCAAAAATTATAAGTCGAAAAATCTCGATATGATACAATTTGTTACTTCCTTTTATACTTTTGATGCTATTTCTCAGAATCAATGCGGAATTTTGGAAGTTTATTTTGACTATCTTATTTTCATCGGATGCCATTTCAACTGTTTTGAGTTTACAACCAAAGTGTTTCTATTTTCTATATGTAGATTAATTAAATGCAATGGTCGCCCATTTTTATATGGATGGTGCGTATTTGCAACTAAGTTACTCGGATACATTTTGAAGTGAGAATCTGTATGAATTCTTATGCTACTTCCATGTTATGAAATCCCCGTAAAATCTATTTAACGGTTTATGATTCCACCAACAAAACTTTTTTATTTTCTATATGTTTACTACTTACACCTACGTTTTTCTGATAAATTTTGAAGTCGGTATCTGTAAACGTTCTTAAAATATATGCATATAACAAGTGAATAATTATTGAGGAACGACTACTATTGATGCTAAAACTCTGCATCCACGCGAAAATTTTTAAGTTATTAAGCCATATTACTTTCAGGGCAACGTAGGCGATGATAAATACTATCAACGGCTTTGAGTGGCTTCAACATGGCTAAGCCCAGGCATATATTTAATTTTTTGTAAATTTAACAATAGAAAACAATCTCTGAAATCTTCCTGGGTCTTTACAACAACAAAAATTAAAAATTTACAATAGCAGTGCCAAAGCATGTTCACTCATTTACATTTTGTCCACAGCTTTCTGTTTACGCTTCTAGAAAAAAGATTGTCATATAAAAAATTGGTCACGCTTTATTAATGTCCGTGTTTCTGTATCGAATAAAGGATTATTCTGGCATTGATAACGCAAATTTGCATAGGTTATGAAGTTGCATTCATATAATTTTCTCAATCTCACCACATAATTTTAAAATTAAATTGTTGCAATATTTTTGTTCTTTGGAATAAGATTATTATTTATCTGACTCTCACAAATTAACATTTCGATTAGTTAAGCATATATGTAAATATTATTATTTATATAAGATACTTTATTATACGCCTTCTATAAATTTTTAACCCAAAGAGGAAATGTTTGAATTATTAATTGTATTGAAAATTAAAACGAACTTACCTTTTCAATATTAATCAAAACTTTGGCCTTGCTAGTTTGGTGGTTGTGATGCAGCATTGCGGAACCTCGATCCACTGCTAGAACTGTAATTTCCAAAGTTGTGCCGCCCATATTGATTAATGGTCTAACGTTTGATATAACTCCGGAAGATGCGTGGATTACAAAATATGGATTGGATTCCAAGAAACTGTAGTAAATCTCTCCATTTAACCCTAAATCCGCGTCTTCGGCTGTCACCTTGATAATGCTGCTATGTACGGGAATATCTTCAAATATAGTAGCCGAATATTCAGTAGGATAGAAAAGAGGACTTAAATCATTTCTGTCAAGAACTTGCAGATTTATTGTACATTCCGCTTCAAGTAATATATTGCTACCATTCTCAATGCATGTTACTAATGCCTTTACTTTGAAATTATAGTCCTCATTTTTTTCTCGATTTAATACTACATTGCTAGTTCTCGTTCTTATCGCCAAAAAAGCAAAATTACCCACAGTTCTCTCTTCGGCTTTAAACAGCTTATCTCGATCTCCAGAAATGATTCGAAAAGCTGTATTACATGAATTGGGTATTTCTAAGCCAATTTTTTCGTCGTAGGACGTAGGTGTAGCATACGTTCTGCCAATACTATTTTCCGGAATCGTAACATTGTACTCTCTTTTCTTGAAATCAATCTTATATGTGTTATATTGTTGATGACTGCGAATTTTAGGGGGATATATGTATTCTAATTGATCAGCATAACAGACTTGTACCACTCTCCATAAGACCACAATTAAATGAAGCACCACTGTATACGTACACGTTAACATATGCACATTAAGTTTAATCTTCATATTAAATATTCCCAGGACTTAACATAATTACAAAATCTGAAATTAAAAACAAAAAATAATAAATTGCCGGTTTAAATAATAAATCATAAATACAAAATTCATTATGAAAGGAAAAATTATCTATGGAAAAGGAATTGACTTAATTTTTGATACGATAACTAAACTAAATCAACTCTACTCCTCCTACTATTTTCTCCTCTCATCCACTCTTTTCTCTTTCCCGTTTTCTTTTCAGGTATCAGAGATGATCACAATGGACAATAGCCTCCGAGTGAATGGTTTTTACTAACAACCGTAGATCCCTAACCTAAATCAACTCTACTGTACAAACAGAAAACCTATGAATTTCAGTAGATTTTACCATTATAATTATTACGTTTAGGTTCCTACACCAATTTCACTTCTTATAGATCATTTTTAAAAAAATTTTATTACAACACGCCATATTGACTTTCTTAAAACCTCATATCAACTGGAATCCGATCCAGTGGAGAAATATTATGTTCTCGGATGAATTAAAGTTTAATATTAAAGGTTCACACTCTAAAAATTTTCGCCTATAATGGTATCGGGATGTTTTTCTTTTTATGGAGTGGATCTGAGTGGAAAAAATCAAAAAGTTACTTTAGTTTTGACCAATCAAAAATTGGGCCAATATAGTTTTCTAAAGCCAATTTGATTTAACTTATATATTTAATGTTCATGGTTAACCCTATAAAAAGCTTTACTGAAGTCAGCTTTACTGAATTGTATCGGTTTGATTACGCTGAATAAACCCATTTATTACGGTGGACTTAAGATTGGTTTAACTTTGTGCGAAATTGCATAAGTAATAATTTTTTGAACAATTTTGAATTTGCACTTAATATAGCAATTCCTCTATAATTTCAGTCAAAAATATATCCAATGTATCTGAACACTACTTTATAATTATGCTAAGATGTATTTCTATTGCCAGAAAACCGTCCATATATTTGAATCTGACCTCCTTATTGCTATTTTCATCGTATATTTTGGTTCCTAGATCAGTAAAAATGAACTATAAAGTTTTCGAAGTTAGAAAAATGGGGTTTCGCGATATTTTTTTAGATAATTTGTCGGATTTTGGTTTTAATAGTTTTTAAGGTCCTGTCCTCGCAATATATTTTGTAAAACCTCCTTTTTATTATTCTTAACATATTTGGAATGTTTTGAAGCCGCGACGACTATATTTAATTCTCTGATTTTGAGATTAGGACGAGAAATTACCAAATATTAAATGAAAAAATGTATTGAACGTAAATATAAGAAAATACTCGCGTGGTTTATTGGAATCGTTGCCAAATCACTTATAGTATGTCGTTACCCGCAATGGTAACTATAAAAAGACCAAACGTGTCCTATGTAACATTTTTTCTAAAATAATAATAAAAAGCAAAATACTTTTTTGTGATAAACATTTTTGGGTTGTTATATATTTCAGCCGATATCTTCGAGACCAATAGGTCTTTCGCTATGAATCAGGCAGAAATACGATCTAAATATGTCCACAAACGTACTCCATCGTATATAATTCATTTTACATCTTTAGTTTGCTGGTTTTAGGCGTATATATTGTAAATGTTCAAATTTTTATTGAGGCAAAATACTTATTACACTCACTGTATACATATAGGTATATGGGCAATATTGCCAATTTTTTAATATTCCATTTTCAAAAAATTGACTTTTTTGTTTTTGCGGCACATCAAGGATTTTTGGTATAGAGTGGTATAGAGAAAAATGTTCTGACTCCAAAACCGTTCCCAATCAAATTTTTGGTTGATGCGCGCAAAAGTTATTGAGGTTTTAATTTTGGGCATAAGAAAACAATCTTAAAATTTATTATATTATTATTATATTTCTTATATTGACCAAAAATGTTGATATAGATTTTCCTCCGTAAAATAAGAATATGAATATATTATAATAATCGCGATAAAGTTGCACATCTTCGCGAAATGTGAGAAAAATATAGCAGATTACATCAATATTTTCATTATATTAATGACATACACACACCTAAAAATTAATTTAAAAATATCTACATAATCTAAACACCATGATGAATCAAATGATATCTTGTAGCGGTTTGTAAATCACAGCGACAAGAAAATGAGATATTGAGGAAAAATATTTGTTTTTGGTTCGAAAAAATAATGTCATCATATTTATTTTTTTTAATTCTATACAAGAAATTTCAGAAAAAAATGTTGGGGTTATTCTGCTATTTTACCCGAAATTCGCCGAAAATTTGGCATATATAACAATAATCACTTTTTGTGTATAAGTATACGCCTTGGGGATTATATCAAGACCCTTCCGATAAATCTTAGGGTTCTATAAATAGGAATAAATCTTAAAATAAAATAATAAATTGAAATATACATTTTAAATTGCGTCTAAACCGCGTAATTCTCAAAATCATTTGATGCGCATGCGGTTTCCAGGAAGTACTGAAGTTTATCTTCCAATCCATATATATTTTGCGAAATTTCATTTGACGGCTAAGATGTACCACACATTGCATTGAAGTACCCAAAAAAATCGTAAAACGTGAATAATTTCCGAAAACTCCATATGCCATTAACGCCGATTTCGGTGTGCACCCTAAAAAATACATCGATCTATACCGATTTCAATGTGGTCCATTAAGAACCATGGATGTGCCAGCTCACACTATTTTTGAGATAAATTGGGTACATCTCTCTTTCGGCTGAAGTTTTTAAAGTTCTCTTTTTGAAAAAGATCAAAATCCGTATGAGGTCATTTATTGAAGCGGAAATGATCCACAGAAAACGCAAATAAATCCGCGATATTTTCAAAAAACATTTTTTACCAAATTTCGTGTTTTTGGAAGGCCAGTTCCCGCCGTTCTAGTAAATGGATTTTCATGTAGAAGATTTTATATCATCCGAAACGTAAAAAACTTTATTGATCGCGGGTACCCATATCATTCAGTTGACAGATCTAAAAAATTGGCCCAAAAAATAGGTTTTTTTTTGATCGCACAAAATTCGCACCTTCGGATGAGTATTACTCTGATGCTGTGCATACTACATACACAAAATACATATCAAATTACGATGATGCGCATGCGGTTTCCAGGAAGTACTGAAGTTTATCTTCCAATCCATATATATTTTGCGAAATTTCATTTGACGGCTAAGATGTACCACACATTGCATTGAAGTACCCAAAAAAATCGTAAAACGTGAATAATTTCCGAAAACTCCATATGCCATTAACGCCGATTTCGGTGTGCACCCTAAAAAATACATCGATCTATACCGATTTCAATGTGGTCCATTAAGAACCATGGATGTGCCAGCTCACACTATTTTTGAGATAAATTGGGTACATCTCTCTTTCGGCTGAAGTTTTTAAAGTTCTCTTTTTGAAAAAGATCAAAATCCGTATGAGGTCATTTATTGAAGCGGAAATGATCCACAGAAAACGCAAATAAATCCGCGATATTTTCAAAAAACATTTTTTACCAAATTTCGTGTTTTTGGAAGGCCAGTTCCCGCCGTTCTAGTAAATGGATTTTCATGTAGAAGATTTTATATCATCCGAAACGTAAAAAACTTTATTGATCGCGGGTACCCATATCATTCAGTTGACAGATCTAAAAAATTGGCCCAAAAAATAGGTTTTTTTTTGATCGCACAAAATTCGCACCTTCGGATGAGTATTACTCTGATGCTGTGCATACTACATACACAAAATACATATCAAATTACGCAGATTCGCGACTACCATTATTTTTTTAATCAATTTTTAGAAATTCCTGTTTGCGTATTGAAGCTAGAAGTAAAATTAAAAAAAAAAAATACTCAAAATCGAGCTTCAAAATGTCAGCATCATTTAAAGGTAGATGCAGTTAAAATTTTGAATAATGATACATAAGTGGCGTAGTCCCCATTTTGTTGGCTTCTAGTTTTACTTTGACGCGAAGACCGTGAAATGAGTGGCTTAGTCACAAATCGATAGAGAATATAAAAAACCTGTTTTTACACATTTTTTTACATTAAAGTAGACACAGCTTCCACCAAAATAAAGTTTGGACGTCAATATTATGAACAGTTTGCAACGACAGACCAATTAACCCAAAACTATTCACTTTTTTATATACTTAAGTAATTCCCGAGTTATAAAGGGGTGAACCTCCGCTTCAGCTATGTTAAAAAATTGGCAATATTGTGCATATATATATATATATACAGTCAAGTACGGTTATAGCGAACTAGTAGGGTTCCTTGCTTAGATCGTAATTGTAGAAGTTCTTTATATCCAAGGTAAGGCAAAATATAGGATTAGTAGAAAAAATATATACTCAGTTAGAAATTGGTAGGTTTTGTGTCCTTTTTGATACTTAAAGTTGAGTGAGAGAATATAAATTTGTTACGTAACGATACAGGACAGTTAGTGGATACAAGATTATAAAACATTTGTAATAAACTTTGCTTAACGTATATTATTATTTTCCAACTTTCTCATAAATAAAGAATAGTTAACTCTATCGAAAGCCTTAAATAAATCGAGCTATCCATAATTGTTAATACTTTAAAGCACATAACCCATGGCATCAATCCGAGTTTTTTATTCTAACGTGGGAACACATTTTTGAATAAATTTATTTATGATATCATAAAATGTATATACTATTAATTCAAGATCACTATGACACTCACAAATAAATAAAGAGGTCCAATATAGTTGAGATAAATGCATTTCGAAATTCCGTTAAATGTTCCAATATATTATATGAACGGTATAGCTTTAAGATGATTTTGAATTTGATGGAATTTGAGAGTGGAATAGTAAATTAGCTACAGAATCTACTTCACAAGTGAGTTTGTTATTATTTTTTTCTACTCATTTAAAAATACAATTTCAATTTCTTTATTGCGTGTAATATGGATATTTGTACAATTTCCGTTGCTTATATATAGATACAAGAGGTTAGGAATTTATAATTC